TGCCCTGACGCCGAGGCGCGTTCCGTGGGTTAATCCACTCGAGGGATTTTCTCCGAGGTTCTATTTTTCTCAGGCGACAGTCTAAGAACGTCAAAGCCCTTCTAAAAACGCCGCTCGTCCGGAATAGCAGCGAGGCCGAAGGAAACGTTTGTCTGGAGGATTTGAGAGCGGTGCAGACTCGCAGCCGTCCGTAGGGAGCAGAACGCCGCGTGCCAGGGCCTGGGGAGAGATTGCAACGACCCCAGTTGCCCAGACTGGTTTTTACTGGTGGTTAATGCCGACAAGCTGTGGTGTGGGAAGGGGCAGAGCTTCTGCCGGGCTCCTTCACATGCTGCGCGAAGGAGAGCCGAGCTCATGGACAGCCTGCGGACACGCCGTGAAACGTCGCCTCTTTTTGAGAGGAAGGGGAAAACATCCCGGTTGAATTTCGCCGTCTCTTCTCGTGCAGCCCGTGTTTGCGTCGTGTTTTTTGCTCGTGAAAGAGAAACGCTGTGACCCGGCTGCTCTTTGCTCCGGCAGTTGAGAACCGAGGTGCGAGCGCCCTTCGGTTCCTTGGGGCTCGCTGGGGGAGCGTGAGATTAGTGGCTTTAAACAGGAGTGAGGCTTGACGGGGAGAAATCCAGCGAACAAAGAGCTTGGGTGAGCCCAAATTAATTGTGGGAAGGGGAAACGGGCCGCTCCACCTGCTCGTGTTGGGACAGGATCGATGCAGGGACCCGGTGCCTGAAACCTTTCTTCACTTTTTCACCCGGTTTATGCGTCCCTCGGATCAGGGATTGGGGCTCCCTGGGCAGGGAGGGTGACACCGAGAATCCTTGCTGGTTGAGCGCAGCTTCTGTCGGCAGCGTGAGGAGCGAAGATGCGTCTCCTACTCGCTCTCTTCTTCCCTTCTCAGGACACCGAGGACTTGGACCACTACGAGATGAAAGAGGAAGAGCCGGCAGATGGCAAGAAGACGGAGGACGAAGGCATTGGGAAGGAAAACCTGGCCATTTTAGAGAAAATAAAAAAGAACCAGAGGCAAGATTACTTAAATGTACGTGTCGCCCGGCGGGCAG